TCGATTACTATTTTGCTCACTGCCTCTCTCAAAGCCTGCTTAGACTTTGGACCTAATGTCTTTATCAGCCTAATTGGAATGCCATCTGGGCCTGTTGATGTACTACTAGGAACCTTTTTCTCAGCCCTTTCCCACTCTCGTTGTGAAAATGGAGCCATTGCACCATTTGATTCGTCCTTGTCTATTGTGGTGCATAAAGTACTTTGTTGGAATTTTTATGTCACCCTTGTTCTTATATATTCAATAGCTTCGTCCCCTTCTAGCCTGGCACCTTGGGCTGTAGTTATAAAACTCTGCTCTAGGCTCGTCTCATTTCTTAGGGAGTTTAGATGGTTCCAAAATTTCGCAGCTGCCTTTCTATCTTTCTTATGTACTTCTGCCAGCCACTGAGCTCCCTTTCTTCTAATCTTTTCATTGATCAGAAGGGATGCAGCCCTTCTACAGCTTAGAAAGGTTTCCCATTTTCTTTCAACATCATCTATCGGTTCACCCCGCTGCTTAGCATGTCTGTGTTCCCTAGAGGCTTCCTGACGTTTTGCTATGGCCCTCTTAACTTCCTCACCCACCAACTTTCTGGTTTGTGTCTTCTTTTCCGGGGTGACTTGTTACGCGTCTTGGCAAGCTCTAGCTCAAAGAGTCCAATTAGATTCGTGTATGTCCACACTGTCTTATTATCCTCCGTGATTACTTTCTCAATTTGTTTAGAGGCTATTTCAATTTGCCTTTCTGAATAAAAATTTTCCTGTAGTTGCTCATCTTGTCTCCTTCCCACTTTCACTGCTCTTCCAAAACTTAGCTTGATACGTTTGTGATCACTACCCAGACTTCTGGAGCCACCTTCATCTATGTGCATTCCCCTGAGCTTATCATACATCCTATGTGACATCAGTGCATAATCTATCGTCGACTGCAGCCTTCCCACCTCCCATGTTATTTGCCCTTCACACTTCTCGGTACTGTTGCAAATGATCAAATCAAGCCTTTCACACATATCCATGATCATTTTGCCTGTCGGGTCGGTATACCCATCTATATCTTCTATGTGCGCATTCATGTCTCCTATTATAATTATCTCGCACTCTCTTCCTGTTTCCTGAATGTCCTTTGATATACACTCTACCATTGCCTGGTTTTCCTCTCTGGCCTTTGCTCCTGTCCACAAGTACACGAAACCAAGGAGTGTCATTTGACCTGCCACTTTCCCTTTTAGCCATAAATGTTCCTTGCACTCCTGCTTGACCCTTTGACAGTCTGTACTTTTATGAATGAATGCCCCAATACCACCCCCCTTTCTGCTGCCTTCTGTTTTATTACAATATTCCCACGCGTAGTCCGGATTGTTCGGAGGTTGTTCCATGTCCCTGAGATGTGTTTCTACAAAACCGTATACCATCGGCCTCTCTTCCTTTAGCTGTTCTTCTATCTCTTCCCACTTCAGCCTGTTCCTACCACCCTGCATGTTAATATACCCTATGTCTGAATGGGCTCGGCGCTCGTGGCTACGTCTATTTATGCCCCGGACTCTACCTGTCTTAGACATTGGTGCCACTTTGGAATCGTTTCTGTCCATAACACCTGTCGAAGAGTCTCCCTGGTTGTTTTCCTCGTTACTAGCTATCCTGCACCCCGAAGGGCTCGCTTGCCCCCCAAAAAAAGCTACTGCGCGTCCTGCAAGTCGCCAACCCACCTCATGACCTAGCCGCCCATCGAAGTGAATTCTGTCTCGTTGAAAACCACCCCACTTATGCACCTCTCTGTTTATTTCCACCACCTCAAAGCCTTTCTCTCGACTCATCCGCCATATCTCTTGCTTTGCGTTGACAACCGCTCTTTGAAGGTTGCTATCACGCACCCGTACCTCCGGTATCGTGCATATCACTACCTGTACCTTAGGTGAAGTGGCGCGCATGTCATCGACGCCTTTCGCCAGTGTGGCTGCTAGTCCTGCTGTATCTTCATTTAAGACATCGTTTAAACCGCCTGAAATTATCACGAGGTTTCGTCTATCAGCTGTAGTTTTGAGTTTTGCGCTCGCTTGCCTCATGACTGCTTCAAGCTTGCGTCCTGGGAACACCCCTACTGCAAACCTCTTGTCACCTCTTACCCTCTCTTTGATGGCTTCTGTGCATCGATTTAAATTCGAGTCCCCGGCGATTATCACATGCTGTGACTTTTCAGCTGGAGCGTCCTGCACCTGGGGGCTACTTGCACCTGTGACGCCGGCTGCTTTGTCCCCTCCCAGCCCCACCACTACCTCGCTGAAGCTGGGCCTTGCGACAGTTGAACCATCTAAACCTGTTTTTTCCAAACTTGCTTGCTCTTCCTTCTCCACCGTTCTGGTTGCTGGTTCTCTACTGTTCTCTCCGTAGGCCGCTTCTTTGTTCAGCTTCGCTAGTGCTTCCTCGGTGGACTTCAGTCTTTCTCCCATTGCCCTCGTTTTCTCTTGCTCTGTCGCCAACGCAGTCGCGAGCTCATCGATTCTCACCAGCAGTTCACTTTGGGCAACCATCATTTTCTCCATTTTTTCCTCGACCTCACATTGCCTACACTTCGCGTCAGCCTCTTCTCCATCCGCTGCTACGCTTGGGTCCACTTTCAAACCCACTCCACATCCTGAACACTTTACAGTCTTTTTAACCATGTCTTTCTGACACCCATTGTCCCCATACTCGATAATTACTAAACTCGAGCCGTGCACTACGAAAAAAAAAAAAGTCTGAGTTCTACTACAAAAATTTGCGTGTTCAATGTACGCGCACCTCCCCCATGGGGCGGCAAAAGAAAAAAAACTATTTTCGTAAGAAGACCCTTTTCGTAAAAGGGCGCCCCATGCGCCCATTACGCGAACTACTCCTTGCCGCCATGTATAGGGCGCTGGAGCAGACAACAACAACAGCGCTTCATGCAGACGCAGAAGGTGGGAATTTTTCGCGCGCTCAAAAACGCGAAGTCACAACGAGTAAATTAAAAAAATACAAATATTCTAGACTAGTGTGAGCTTCGTTCTGTGTCAAATAGCTCCTCGAAAAAAATAACGGAGGAATTTTTATATTTCGCGTTGAAAATGCGGGCGCTATTGTGGAACTTCTTTCACTGGCGATAGGATGCATGTACGAAGCGCGCGCACACACCGCCTGCCATATGTATGGCGGATTCCCTTTACAATATCGAAACTGACGAAAAGGTTACCGTCAGGTGGCGTATTTAAGAAAATGGTCCTTTGTAGGCCCACAGCGAGGACACAAGCTTTCATCATAGGAGGCAGGACGGATTGAATAAATTAGGGCCAGATGCTGTTTGGACTCTGTTTGCAAAAAATCTCACCTGGAAAATCTCGGTTTGTCCCTTGTTGCTCCCGTTTGCTTTTCTGCTAGCCTAATATACAAGCCTGTGGGGGGAGGGGGAGGGTTGGTGTAATATGGTTGAGTGTCCTACTATTATCTGGCGATGCTTACAGCTTGTAAGTTTTTTAAGCAGTCAAGTGTACTAATTTGTTTGCGGGTACTAAACTTGCTGCAGGAAATTATATTATGGACAAAAGCTTTATTTAGGGTATGAGAGGCAGGCTAGTGGAGTTATGCGGCTTACAGAAAACACTGCAAGCTACCCGGTTGTTTGATCTGCCTTCCCTGTCGTTATCGATACCGTCACTAAAACAGCAGTGTCTTTAGCCTTGTTCTAGAGGGTCTTTGAGGGGTCAGCAATTATAAGGTGAATTTGTTTCAAGAATGCCGCACAGACGTTGAAGTACGTTTACAGGGACATCGAAGTTGTTTCCTTCGCAAATATAAGCCCCCTAAATGTCTCCACTCCACCAATGCAGCGAATCTACCATGTGGGAGAGACGAACTGCTTTAACGGTATTTTATACAAACTCGAGTCACCAACACCTTTTTTTCTGTTTTAAACACGGCGGCTAAGTTCAGAAGAGAACCCTTCAACTTTCAGAACTTGCTATACATAAAAAAAACCCTCCACGTTGAAACTCACACTGCCTTCAATACAAACCAGTGACCGCTCAGAACCAACATGGCGGCCCGTCAAGTATGGTGGCTGTTTTAGCCACTTGTAAGCAACCATGATCGAATTTGTCACCACTGTAAAACACGGAGACGCGCGCACATGAAGGCCTCCTAGCATTTCGTTATATGCCCCGCCGCGGTGGTATAGTGGCTAAGGTACTCGGCTGCTGACCCGCAGGTCACAGAATCGAATCATCGCTGCAGTGGCTGCATTTTCGATGGAGCCCAAAATGCTGTAGGCCCGTGTGCTGAGATTTGGGTGCACGTTAAGAACCCCATGTAATCGAAATTCCCGGAGCCATCCACTACGGCGTCTCTCATAATCATATGGTGGTTTTGGGACGTTAAACCCCACATATCAATCATCAGCATTTCGTTAAATGTACAAGTACCACCTTCCACGGCCTGCTCTGAACTAACCAGAGGTGGCTACACACGATTACTACGGGACGCTCAGCCAACGCCTTAAGGAGCTTCAATCCTAAAACCAGCAGAAGGTACACAAAAACACGTACTTTGTCATATGTAGTGAAAAACAACTCGTTCGGAAGATATTTGCTACGAGGACCGATCATTGTACCGATGGCCGATTAGTTTAAAACACTTTAGTTAAAGGCACTGTATGGTCGTTGAGAAAGCACAAAAATATTTGCGCTACTCAATTACTGAAAGTCGTGCTATCGAATAGAACTAGAAGATAACGCGGTGCAACCGTGTGTCCATGGATAAAAGCAGCAGACATGCTGATGCTGCTGGACATGTTGTGGCTTCGTTCGCCTGAAACGTGGCATTGGCAACCCACTGTATAGTGGAAGTCTATTCGGAATAATTCACGTTACATAATTTGAGGCAAGGAACACACACAAAAAAACTGATTTCATTAGATCTGCAGAACATTTCACAAGGACCGAGCGCAAGACGAGGGTTCTTGTCTTCCGAGCAAGCATTGCTGTCGACTGCACTTGACGGAGCAAAAGGTTATCGCAGCGCAGGACAGTCCTGATCGTCGTCACTGCTAGAATAGGTCAAGTCAATGACTTCTATTTTTGGCTGCTGCCGCGCGACCTGCTCGCTGGATAAGGAATCGGAAGGTGACGCCGAACTGCGAGCTCTAGACTGCAGTGCGGAAGTAGGGACGCCGTCGGCCCTCTGCGTCGCCGGCGACGGAGTCCAGGAGCCATCCGCGTGGAGTACGACGCCGTTGCAGTCGCCGGGCGCGTTCGCCAAGATGTCTGTAAACAGCTGGTCAACGACCAAAGACGACAAGGAGGCCGGCTTGCAACACACTGGACATGTCCACGTGGGCCTCCGCTCGTTGACCTGCAGATAGCTCGACCCATCGAAGCAGTCCAGGTGCTTGCAAAGGCGTCCGCGAGACGGAACTTTCATGCGGGTGCGGCTCAGCGGACACGTGAGGGAAACGTGGAACCTGGTTATCGCCACGTCCTCGCCTATAGTTGCTCGACGCTTAGCTTTCTTCTTGATCATGGCTCTCGTCACTGCCGCGTTCAACTGATACAGTCCGCTCAGAATCGTCGCTGCTGAGAGCTTCTTGACCAAGAACAGACCGACGGCGTACTGTCGCCCACTGGCGGGCTGCCAGGTTACCCAAAGCTTATTTAGCGTGGAAGGGCCCTGAGTACATAAAGAGGTGATGTAATTGGCAGATGCACCCATTCGGTCATTCCATGGGAGTCTTTGCAAGGAATAGGCGCCGGCAGTTCCACGGTTTTACCGTTAACATTTACGGCCAGATCAGAAGGGTACCTATCGTCCTGCTCACTGTTCGTGTCGAGCAAACAAAAGCGAAGGTGTACTTCCATAGTGTCATCTCGGCTCGATTCTGCGTTCTCCGTGATGACGAGGAAACAGCAGCAATCTGCTGTGGGCTTAACCGAAAGAGAATGCACTTACACTGCAAGCCTTCGCATCCGGAATCCACTAGGGCATGGGTGGGACAATTTCGGCCAGGGCTTCGAAAAAAGGCTCATTCTTGAAACACAGAGGTGGGGATTCCACTGATTGAGCACGGTACATCTTGGTCGTTCACTTCCGACAATTTATAGTAGAGTGAACAAGGGGAGTGCCTGGAACGGACGCAGCACTAATGCATTAAAAGTGAAGCTTAAACAGAATCAATCCGCTTGTGCGCTGTGATAGGTAGTCTGCAATAGATGCTCGTTTTAAAACTGCGCGCCGCTTCACCGAAGTGGTCGAGGGGTAGAATGCTCGCTTCGCACTCAAAAGACCCAGGTTCGAGTCGTAGCTGTAAGCGTCAGATTTTCTTTTTCCTTAATTATATTTGCACCGGTGTATTGATTGTATTTTTTTAAAACCTGGCTTCAGTTGCTACATATTGCTGCGAAAAATCTTGCGAAATATGAGGTGTGCTTTCATGGCAGGCGAGTGAAAGCACACCGGCTCTCTTAATCGCCAAATTCTCGGAAGCCATGCTTTAAAGTTTTCGTTAAATCCCGTGTGGTGGCGCTGCAAAAAATGCCCTCATTATCATTTTTTTTACTTCATATTTCGCGTGATTTTTGTAGCAATATGTAGCAACTGAAGCCAGATTAAAAAAAAACAACCAATACACCGGTGCAAGGAAAACTAACGGAAAAGAAAATCATTCATTCACAGCTGCAATTCAAACCTGGGTCTTTTAAGTGGGAAGCGAGTATTCTACCCCTCGACCACTTCAGTTTTCATTTCTTTATCGCCTTCTTGACTACAGGTCAAGCTAATGTGACAATCACTATCACACGTGTTTCATATGTGATAACGCATCGAATAAAGATATTACATTTTTAACACAGTCGGTAGTATTATACACATCTCGCACTTTATAATAGCTTCCACGAAACACTCATTAACGGATAGAACTCTTACATCACAGCGTCTGTACGATAGCATACTACGCCAAACCGAATGAAGACCAAGTAAAAATATAACATCTAAATTTTGCACAGAACTATCACAAGGCAAAAAACGAATTCCATATGGAGTAAGAGGTAAATCTCTTTTTAAAGTCCTCTGTAAAATGTCCCAAAAGAAAATAGCGTTCTTACACTCAATAAACACATGTTCAATGCTCTCAGCTTTGTTACACAGGAGACAGCTGCTTCGCCATGGTACATACATCCTATCTCTCTTCAAGCCACGTTTTTACTGACAAGGTTCCCGTATGAAGTTTAAAAAAGAAGGTTCTCACATTGGGTGGTATACACCTGTTTTTCACTCGCTTTAGTACATCATGTCCTTATGATTTTTCATACTTTAAACGGTACAGGGGCGCAGGAAAAAGATTCTGTATTAAGTCTTTCATAAGGCGCTTTCTTTTCACATTAGTTAGGTAATCTATCGAAAACCTTGCCCTTAAGAAACGATATGAGAACACTACTTCGCGCAAGAACGGTGACAAGGTGTGTCGTTCTCCCCTATCTGAAGATACAAAGAAGTCAGACATGTGGTGTAAGAGCGTTGTTTGAAATAAAGAACATAAAATGGAGTCTCTCTGGTCTCTGATGAGCAGGAAACGTGATATTACTTGGTTAAGAAACAGATGGCACAAAGACAGCCCTCCTTGCCTAACACGCCGAAACAAGTTTGTTCTAGATGTTCGCTCCCATGTAGAGCTCCAGATGATCGTGGCAAATATACTGTGGATTTTATGAATGCTTTTACGCGTACAACTAAGTACTTGCAAAAGGTACATAATTTTAGCTGCCAGAAACACGTTGCGTACAGCTGACCGAGAGAAAATTGATAAGCCACGACCGCCCCATCCTTCGGCGGTCGCGCGCAGTTCTTCAGCCTTTCCAAGCCAAAATGCTTCACTGTCTTGATACCTGTGCAATGGTGCCCCTAGGTAATGATTAGGTGTCGTGAGCCACTGAATATTTCCAAAGGAACTGGGCGTGAGGTCACAATTACCATGCCATAAACCAATGCTTTTCTCTTTGTTCATTAAACTTCCACTCGTGTCACAAAACCTTTGAGTGATTTCTAATAAGGAAGTGACACTCTCTCTATCAACAGCAAAAAAGGCAATATCGTCGGCGTATGCCAAAACACGCACTTCACATGACTGCAACCTGAAACCATTAATCCCTGTGTGGTGAATAACTTTCTGACACAGTGGCTCCAAAAATAGAGCGAAAAGCAAAGGACTTAAAGGACACCCCGGGCGCACGGAGGAAAGTATACTTGCATGCGCTGTGAGAGTTCTCCATTTACAATTAAATTTGTGGTTGAACTTTTGTATGCCAATTTAATATATTTAATTATGATCGCACCAAGACCAACGTACTCAGCTAGCGTGAAGAGTTTACTGTATGGAACCATATCGAAAGCCTTGGCTAGATAAATTTGCAACATAGCTATTTTTAAAAGCGAAGCGTCACAATACTCCAAAATGCTCCTGGCAACGTGAATATTCGTGAATATGCTCCTACGCTTGATGCCGCAAGTCTGCTGTGACCCGACCAACTTGTATATAACTCCTTGCAACCTCCTAGCCAGAACTTTAATAAACACCTTATAGTCTACGTTTGTTAGCGTGATTGGCCTGTATCCTGCCACTTTGCGTAAAACATATTGCTCTTTCCCTTTAAAAATTAGCACAGTGTGCGCCCAATTAAACGATGGAGGCAAAGTTCCGCGGTCTAAAGACTCTGAAAAAACCTCATGCAATGCGGCGGCCATATCCTCCTTGATCGCCTTGTAAAAGGCGGCACTAATGCCATCTGAACAAGGTGATTTGCCCATGCCAAGATCATCGATAGCCTTCTCAATTTCCCCTATTTTAATACACATTTCCAATAAATTTGTGTCCTCAGCATTAAGTGTCGGCATTTCTATCAAGAACTCATCTACAAAGCCCGGCTCCTTTGGTTCGCGATAAGCAAACAAGTCCTAATAATAGCTTTCAAAAGCTTTCATGATATATTTATGTTCTCTCAAGATTTTACCATTCCATTCTATCTCTAGTATGTCGTGAGCTCGCGCATATGCCTTTTCATCTGACAGGGCTCGCTTTGTCGGGGCTTCACCCACGAGGTATCTCTCAGCTCTTGCTCGTATAATTGCACCTTTATATTTATCTTCTTCAAGACATTCAATTTTGTTTTTGACAACCTGCAATTGATGTGTAAATAAGCCCGGGTTTTCTGCTTCAATTTTCACCAAATCATTTAACTCTGCCCGAAGCTCACGTTCCTGTTTTCGAGCTTGATACTGCATGTAGCAACCACACTCTATTGCCTTCATTTTTATCTTTTGCTTAAATAATTCCCATCTTTCCGTGGCACTCCTTTCCGCGTTTTTGAAAAAAATCTCAATTTCCTTCTTTGTCTTATCTACAAACCCTTTGTGCGTAATTATCTTAGTAGTCAGTTTCCATGCTTCCCATACGACCTTTTTTTTGCACTTTCTACCTATCTCAAACGAGACTAAGCAATCATCACTGAAGGAAGCAGCATAAACGTCATAGCTCTGACATAAAGGTACTATCTCAGAAACAAACATATGCTCGATCTAGTCGTGCGCGACCCGAACCTTGAAAATGTGTGAAGTGTTGGCGACTCCCGCACTTCGAAAACAGAGCTACGTCATGGAAATAGTACTTATTAAGGCTATCTCTAAGCAAACCAACGTTTTCATCACTTAATTTAGCAGTATACGTGCAATCTTCCAGGGCCAGAACACAATTGAAGTCACCCAGCAGAATCACACATTTCTGACATTCAAAGTACGCTTGCATTTCCCGAAAAAACAAACATCTGTCTCTCGAATTTGTAGGTGCGTATACACAGATAACTCTAAACTTAGTATTCCCGTAACAAAAGTCACACAAAACAAAACGCCTATGTAGGCAACTTGTGACCTCTTCTACTACAATACCAAGAGAGTTATTGACAAAATTAATACATCCGACTAATGCTCCCACTGCATAGCTCACACACGCATTGTACCGCAATGAAAATCCTGCTACCAAGCTATCAGTCGCGTCCTCAGTACTAAGTTTAGTCTCCTGGACCGCGAGCAAGTCAAGGTCTTTTTCTTGCATCAAGCGTTTCAACTGGTACTGTTTGTGACGCGTTCCTAGACCACGTACATTCAGCGTACCAACGCGTAAAGGTGCAGTCATGCTAGCCATGTTGATGACAAAGATGAAACTACAATGCTGCGCTCACCGTGTCTCGTATACCGTGCAGTAGGAAAACCGGGGTCTTACGCGTCTCGATCCTGTCCCCGAACCGGCGACGATGACGCCGACCGGGTTGCGAGGGCATATTTTTTACTCTTAGCGACCGTTACGCGTTGACACAGACGCTCCGGGTGTTTCAGGTGGCGTTCCGTGCTTTCCACTCGGTTACGCTTGCCGCATTCCGTGGTCGCTTCCGGAGACTTTGTGCTGGCTTCTGGCGTAGCGATCTCGCCACTGGCACCCATGTCTTCCTCCATCGATTCTTGAATATCCCGCTGGCCGCCTGTTGCGGCCAACTCCTCCGATTCCTTCGTTGAGTCTTTGCCGTCTTGCGTTGTCGCGTTGGCTGTCTCTTCTCCAGTTGCCTGAACCGTGGCGTCGGGTCCCATGTCATTACTGCCAGGGGCCATTTTCTCAGCCTCTTCAGCGTCCATTAGATTATCTTGGGCATCGTCTGTTGGCAGCGCGGTCTTCGTAACTCTGGCATAACTCCTGACACAATCTTGACTTTCATGTCCAAGTGAAAGTTGAAAGTTAAAGGTTGAAATTTATTTCACCACAACGATACACCGTGATTTACACAAACAAGAAACAATTGTGGCATGGAAAGTAGGAAAAAAGCTGCGCTATAGCAGCCTGACTAGCCCCACCTCCCATTTGTACAAGGCAACAGAAACAATGGCACACCAAACTTCATGCGGTGCTCACGTATGATTGAAAGAAAAAAGAAAAGAAAATAGCATTCTAGTGGTTGTTTATGAAGTACAGAATAGATGCACACTTGGGTGTTTACAAACAAACAATTATTGGGAAAAAAGGCAACCAAAATAAGACGCTATAACAGAAAGGGGTACACTTAAAAGTTCATGCATTTACAAGTACTGGGTGCAATTTTTCTGGGTTTATAGCTCCTTATACAAACAGGTTTAATATATCACTACTTAAAAGGAGACGCAATTGCTGTTCTGTGAGCTTGAACTTATTTAGTATATGGGGAACAGAGTGCTTTAGCATTTGGAGTCCGTAATTTGTTCGCGGTCGGGGGATGTGCCAGTGTTCAGAACTCCGCATCGGACGCAACAAGATTTTCGGCTGTAAATGTGCTAAACCTCTCAGGTTTGCGCAATTCTTTCGAATTTCAGACCTTAAAGACAACAACAAGTTATGTTCATATGCAACACAAAATTTTAAAACTTTAAACTTGACAAATAACTGGGATGTGTGTTCTCTGTAACCTATATTTGCAACAGCCCGTAAAGCGCTTTTTTGAAGTGTATACAACTTTTGTTTTGATTTTTCAGTTCCAGAAGCCCATACCAACTGACAATAGCGTAGATGAGAACAAAAAAGCGTATTAAAGATAAGAAGTTTCTGGGGGAGCGGTAGAAACGACTGACACCTTCTCAGCACGCCAAGGGCTTTTCTTAGCTTAATACACAATTGTTCAGTGTGAGAATTCCAGAACATATGTTGATGAAAGATGACGCCCAAAGTTTTGACAGTCTCTGAAAGTTCGATATTGAAATTATTTAGCATCAGTTTTGTGTGTACGTACATGTCATTCCTTTCGCACGGAAAAGAACGGCCTTGGTTTTAGAGCTGTTGATCTGTAACGAATTTTGGCAGGACCATTTCGAAAAATTGACTAACGTTTTATTAGCTGCTTTTATCAAATCGTCTATATTTGTTCCCGTAAAGAATAAGCTTGTATCATCTGCATAAATAATGTACGTTATTGAGTGATCCACATTTACAATATCATTGATATAAAGGTTAAATAGAAGAGGTCCTAATATGCTTCCCTGTGGTACACCGCGTTTGATTTTTTTGGGCATAGATGTTTGCCTATTTATAGACACACACTGGTACCGATCACTAAGGTAGCTTTCTATTAAATCGAGCGCGATGCCTCTAATCCCGTAATAAAACAATTTTTCTAACAAGGTTTGGTGATCAATTCTGTCGAACGCCTTCGTAAAGTCTATGAATACGCCTAATGTTAGCTTTCTTGCTTCAATATTGCCCAGTATCAACTCTTTTTGATGCAACAGCGCTGTCTCCGTCGATACGCCAGACCTGAACCCATATTGTGCTGTTGTAATCACAGAGTGCGAGTCCAAAAATTTATACAATCTAGTGAAAATGATTTTTTCTAGAGCCTTTGAAAATATAGGTAATACCGATATTGGCCGGTAATTACTCATTTCATTTTTGTCACCACCTTTATAAAGCACTGCAACTTTATAAAGGTGCAGTGCTTGCTCGCCATACACCACAGCGGGGAGTCTGGCAGTCTCGTCGTATATGTCCTTGCATGTGACACCTTAGGCAAAGCGGTGCCCGACCCGGGGCCATAAGAAGGACGTGCCCCCTCCATATTTAAAAAGGTGCGGCAAGTCTTCTAGCACCACGCCTTCCTTCAGTTTCAGTCGCACCACCCTTGTCGTCGATGTCGCGTGTTCAAAGCCCGCGACGGTCCACTTGTCGTTGGAAACCTCCAGATCTTCACCAAACTCACTCAACACTTGTCGAATGCTCTCATTAGAGACGGCAAAGCCAACCCAGTGGATTTTCACGATTACATCATGTTGAATAGGGTCGATGATAGCACAGAAGCCACCCTTGACTTGGAGTCCACCTGTTTTGAGTATTGGATCTTTGTCAGCCTTGCTTCGCATCTTCACCAGCCAAATGGGATCCATCTGGAAGGCTCCAATGCCAGTGATCGCCTTGATGAGTCCCACTTCTTCCAACCGGTATGGTCTTTTTTCCAAATCACCGTGCAGAAACACACACTCTTCCATACTGTCACCCGACGGCAATGTAGGCAACAAAAACCGGTAATCCGATGGCGCAGAAGGAACCTAACACCGCGGCCAGCAGCGGCCGCCGAAGCACCTCGCACGGAAGCGAGCCATCACACGTCCGTCTCCCACCGAAGCCGAAAGTGGAGTGACCTCTCGACCACTTCAGTGGAGCTGCGCACAACTCTTAAAACGACGACACATTGCATACTACCGATCGCAGCGCCACAAGTGGAGTGACCCTGTTTGGGCTTCAATTTTAGGAGCGCGGTCCGGGCACTCCCCTTATTCGAGCTCTAATTCATAGTGTATGAAGGAGATGATGATGACCTCGTATGGATGGCCTTCACTCACAATGGGAGAACCGGGCGGTAGGACGCCTAAAGGAACACTAAAGGTAAATGTTAAGGCGATGTTGACTGCTGAAATGACACTCCAGAAACCTCGTAGTGCTACTTTTGTGCCAAGAACGGGCTTAGTTTGAAATAAAATACCGTTTTAGTGGTCAGCATCGTGATAGCGCACTTCAAATTACCCCCGCCTCAAAGTAAAAACTTTCACGTCACTCTTACCATGCTTGTTGTTGCCCGTCTATACGGCGCAGCCGCTGACACCAGTAGCAGCAGAACCAAAGGAACGGGAGCTAAAGCAGTAACAACATTCATTGAACAATTTTATGCCATGGCCTCGGAGATGGCAGGCGTTCTATGCTCATACAAAGGCCTGCTAGACAGCATTACCTGTCCAGTTTAACCAGGCGAAAATGGAACTTTTGAACCACTGGCGCCTTTCCTCAGTGTAAGGTCGGGATGTTCTTTTTTCTATAAATTAAACAAAATCGGACAAGGGCCATCATATTACGTCTCTTTATGCGCGGAATGTTTTTTTATTTATGGCAGCCGATGGGTTGGCGTTGTCAGACATCACGGGCGGAGCGTCCGGCTTCGCAGCCCCAGGGTGTAACGACGGAGATGAACCACTGACCTCCATTAAAAACGCTGGACGACGCGTCTCAGCTCTCCCATACGGGCGCTTGGGAAGCCACTGAAGAATTCCTTCAGTGTCCCGGACGCCGGTGTATTCTGGGTGTTTCCAACACGTAATTCAAATATAATCTCGTTGAAGTTGTTGCTATGATCGTATTATCTGTGTCTGTTATAATATACGACGCCACCAGTCGTCGTATACGCGTGATTTCTCAAGGTTCTCTTAATCATCCAACGCTACACAATAAATGACAGACGCCGTTGCGACGCTGTCCAAATACGGCGGAGTGCTGTAGTCTACAACTAGTGCATACAACAGGCCCTGCAATTAGGCATAACTTGGTACACTGACTAACGCTACATGAAAAATGACAAACGCTGTAGCGACGTCGTCCGAATACAGCGGAGTGCTGTAATCTAAAACCTTACAATCAGTCATCAGTCAGGTAACAGAAAAAAGAAGTGGTCACGGAGTTCTTTTTACAAAAAAAAAAATTGGCAGCATATCCACGGAGTGAATGCTGGAGAGTGGGGCGAAACATTCGTCCGTCCATGCGTCTGTCTGTGTGACCATCCATGTGTCTGTTCGTGCGTCCGTCCCTGCGTTCGTTCATGCATCCGCCCCTGCGTCCGTTCATGCGCCCATCCTTGCATCTGTCTGTGTGTCCGTTTGTCCATCTATTCAACACTCCAAGTCCCACCATCTCGCATCTTTTTATCATATATTCCCCATATAGAAGCACCGCCATTCAGTGGACATTCCAAGGACTAAACGAGAGGTGGCACACGCACACTTTCTTACGGCTTGCGCTTCGGGTCTACTTCCCACCTTCAACCACCTTGAGTTCATGGTATATACTAGTTCACTGTATTCATGGCACTGCGGCCCAATGCTCGCTAAACCTTTCTAAAACCAAGGAGGTTACGCCCAGCGAGTATAACGTAGCAACCTTTTTTTGTCTGATAGTGCTCAATGTACATGCCAGTGGCTGCTAATGTGAAATGAGAGACAGGAGGATTCAGCTTTTAATTTCTTACGGCTTGCGCTTCGTATCTGCTTCCCTCCTTTAACCACCTCGAATTCATTCATGGTATATACTAGTTCATTGTACTCATGGCCCTGCGGCTCAACGCTTGCTAAACCTTTCTAAAACTAAGGAGGTTACACCCAGCGAGTACAATGTAGCAACCCTTTCTTGTCCGATAGTGCTCAATGTACATGCCAATGGCTGCTAATGGGGTTCGCAGCGTGCGCGTTGACTAAAAGTCGGATGCTCCTGTCTCTCATTCCCCATTAGCAGCCATTGGCATATACATTGAGCACTATTTTTTATTGTTAAACAACGCACAGAAGAAATCTCTCACCGGCACCACCTTGGAGGTCAAATGTTATACTTATTTCGAGTATGTGTTACTGGTGGTTACGTACTACGAGGGACGCACAAGCCACGCCATAAGGAGCTTCGCCCCTAAAAAAAAAACAAAAAAAAAAACAGGGAGTGAGAGCAATTGTAGCCAGGAGCCCCGCCGCGGTGGTCTAGTGGCTAAGGTATTCGGCTGCTGACCCGCAGGTCGCGGGATCAAATCTCGGCTTCGGCGGTTGCATTTCCGATGGAGGCGGAAATGTTGTAGGCCCGTGTGCTC